TTTTTTTTTTATTTATTTTCTGATGTGGCTGGATGATGTGGCGAAATGTGCTGATTTGGCGAAATTTGTATGACGTGGCATGCCACGTCAACATTAAAATTGATGGAACATAACGTCGTTTACGGATATGGAGGAAATTGCAACACATTTTAAGATTTTGTGTAGGAATTTGGAAATATTTGAAATCCGGTGTAGTTTTTTGTCAAATTAAAAATTGGTATAGGAAATTGGAACTTTTTCGAAAATTTGTGGGGGAATATGGGATTATCCCAAAAACTTTTAAAAAATTACAGAATTTTAAAATTTATTTTTTAAAAATAAAATAAAAAATTACATATACATATATACACTAATAATATATATATATACATATCCATATATACATTGAATATGTATATATATGTAAATATGTATGTATATGTGTATAAATATATATATATATATACATACATATTCATATGCATATATATACATATATATATATACATTTATACATACATATATACATATGTGTTCTCCTTTATACATACATGTATATATATACATATATGAATATGTATATATATGCATATGAATATGTATGTATATGTGTATATATTTATACATATATACATACATATTCACATATATATATACATATTCATGTATATATATATGTGAATATGTATGTATATATGTATATACGTGTAATATGTATGTATATATGTGAATACATACATATGTGAATATGTATATGTGAATATGTATGTATATATGTGAATACATACATATGTGAATATGTATGTATTTTGTGTGTGAATTTGGAAATATTTGAAATCCGGTGTAGTTTTTTGTCAAATTAAAAATTGGTATAGGAAATTGGAACTTTTTCGAAAATTTGTGGGGGAATATGGGATTATCCCTTTTTTAAAAAAACTAGGAGAGAACCGCGCGATGCGCGGTTTATTCTTTTGTAATGCTGTTAATTTAAAATGTTTATTTTTTTAGCAAAATTTATATTATTAATTCATTATATGTATAAAGAAATGAATAAATGAAAGAATTTTAATATTATTGTATTATTATCGTATAAAATCATTATTAGGTGAATAAGTTGGTTTCAGATATTTTTTATAATCAAATGCATATTTAGACTATATAATTATAATATATGTATCTAAATAAATAAAATATTATTTTTTTTCAAATAATATATATATCTAAACAAATACAATATTGAACATAGTATAATAAATATGTACTAAATATTAATAGAAATATTTTCCGTTTTAGATGTATCATGTGTTATCTTTTTCATTATCATGTTTGAAAATAATAATTGATAAATTTGTTTAGTATAAAATTTGAAATTTTTAGATAACATGGATATTTTTGGTTAAATAATACTGCGAAAACTATATATAGTAAAAATAAATTTTAATAGTTAACTATTAATAATTAAAATTTTAAAAAATAGTGAAGCTTAAGTTAATGGTTTATTTCTAATATATTTGTAGTATGAGTAATAGAAAATTTATTTTCCTTTTTTATATTTTTAAAAATATAGTCTAATTATCTTATTAATCTAATTTGTTGAGAAATTTTCTCTTATTTACGTATTTGGAGGTATGTTTATGGATTTTATTCAAAGTACCACCTATGAATTTACACACCAATTTGGAGCTCATAAAATAGACATAAGATTAAATTAGAATATATCTTAGATCATAAATCATAATCGGTTCACCCACCTACATAAAACCATCCAAATTGATTACAATGGAAAATCAAATCAAATGATTGAGTTCAAAATCTAGAATTTCCAGGTAGTATCAATCGATAAGGAGATTAAAAAACATGAAAGATCTATCGTTTTGTTTACAAAAATAAAGAAAATTTTACTTTTGTGCATAAAAATCATCAAAACATCCTAGAAAAAGTCATTATTTATATTTTTATATAGCAATCAAATGCTTCGTTTTCTCTTTCAATGTTTTTGACTCTATATTATTTTAATCGGAGAATCTCTACTCATTTAACGCAAAAATAAGTGGAGATATGAATATAGTTATCTTGATATAAATTATTTTTTTTATATAAATAAGCATATTGGTAAAATTAAATTATTATAAAATTATCATTATATTGTTTGAAAACTTTTTTAGAGTTTAAATTTGTGTAGTTTATCTAAAACTGATTTATGTTTTTTTTTGGTATTTTTGTATTATTCATCGTCATAAATTCTTTTTGGTTTATAATCTTTTTTATTTTAGATTGTTTAAGATATATTCTATGTAAATCTAAACAATAATATTTTGATTAGATTTGTAATGAAAATAAAACTTTGATACTCGCAAGATTTTTCTATCTAACATATATTTTTAATTTTTGGTTATGTTTTATTCGTAATTTTTTTATTATTTTTAATTTTATAAAATCGATAACTATTTTTTTTTTTCCGGTTTAAGCGATTCAATTTAAAATTGAGTTTTATTACATATGTAAAGATTTTTTAGAAGCTTTTATTACATCAAATAATGGACAATTGGACAAACAAAATTTGGATGTGTCATAAACTTTAAACTCTCTACACCAACCGTATAGAATTTAAAATAAATTAAAAATAAAAGAAATTAAAAAGTAGATAATCGAATATAAAAATAATATATATATATATATATATATACACACAAACATACATACATTTTTTTGTAATTTCATAAATAATCTTGTACAAATATGCAAACCAAAATAAATTAAATTAAATAATTAATTGGATGAAGATAGGGATGAGCATAATATCCGAAAAAACTAAATCGATCCGTATCCGAATTTCACATATCAGATACGGATATTGATTTCAAAATTTTTTTCGGTTACGAATATCAAAATAAAATTATCCGTCATATCCGATTGGATCCTTATTTTTTTTGATACATTAATAATATTTGGTTAATTTACTAATTAATTTATATATGAGGATAATTTTGTAAAAAAATTAAAATATGCTAGGGTTTTTTTGTTTCTCTACTTTTTCTCTCTATCCGGCAAATGAATTTATTTATATCTAATAAAGATTTTAAATTACCAATGAGGATTAAAAATTTTGTCATGTACATGATGAGGTGGATGTTTAGGTAGTTTTAACAAAACTCTTTAAACTCAACTATATAATTTTAAAAGCTAATTAAATTCGATATTAATTTTTTTTATTTTATTAGTTACATGATAAATTACAATTATGGTTTAAAAGCTAATTAAATTTTCTATACTCCAACATATCGTTTTCTCATTGATTTGTTTTTTATATTAAATAAAAAATAAAAATTAAATATAAATATAATCAAATGTAAATTTAAATTTAAATAATATATGAAACTAACATCAAATTTGTTTTTTGTATAATAAAGATTAAAAAAATTAAATTAATCTATTGATATTTTCCTTTTTATTCATCATTTTTTTGTTACTTTTTATTTTCATAAAATTTGTAACTTTTATAAATTCTGTTTGAATGATTTAAATTAAATAAAAATTTTATTACATCTAAAAAATTCAATTTATTATTTTATTAAAAATAATAATAAATTTTATAAAATGTGATCAATTTTATCAAAATTCTTTTTCACAACTTTAAGACTCTAAAATATTCTCTAATTCCTTAAAATCTATCATAAACAATTTTCATTTAAAAATTTAACAGGACAAATCCCCAATTTTTGAATTACTTTCAAATTACTACCCATAATAAAATGGCGTTAAATTTTCATATTGGAATCCAGTGTGGCATTAATAGTTTACCCACATCAGACAAATCTGATTATGTGAAAAAATTTACCAACTGGATAATTTATAAAAAAATAAAATTGATTTTAAATAAATAAAATAAAAACATAATCTACACTCCTCTTGGAGAAAAAAAATGCTACAATTCTCCCACAGTCTTCGTCTTCTTCAGCTTCAGCATCTCCACCAGCTCCTCTGTTTTTTTTATCTCTATGGTATATGGTAAAAGATTAGATGAAGCTTGAATTCGGTTCGATGCCCAAAAAAACCCACAAAAAATAATATAAAAAATCTACAAAATTAAATACTCATATCAATGTCATATCGAATTTCATTGTACGATGGAAAACTATTGAAACCCACATGAGAAAAATTCATTCAAAGCCAAGAAAGAGATTTCATGAACAACCCAAATGAGAAAATATATCGTATTATTATATTTTTTTAGAAATATTAATTTTTTAAAAGAAAAATATATCGTATAATATTTAATAATGTGATAACATAGTTTATCAAAAAATTCGACTTATTACATATTGTCAGCAATAAAGGTTGAAAAAGACACGTTTTTTAAAATGTATATTTTGTTTTGGGATTAAAAAAAATTATGTCTTGATCATCTAAGATTGATAAGTGTAAGTTTTTTCCTTCAAATTTTTCTTATATTTTTAATATTTCGTATAAAAGGAGTTTAATTCGAACTTATGATTTTGGAAGGTGTTGAATTCGACCTTATGATTTTGATTATGATATCCGTTGAAAATTTATGTTTCTAACATATATTTTACATTTTGTTTATGTTTTTATTCCTTAAATTTTTATTATTTTTTATTTTCATAAGACAAGAATTATTCCTTTTTTTCAAATTTGATTTGAATGACTCAACTCAAATTTAAATTTTATTATATGTAAGAAGTTGTTTTTTAATTTTTTCATTAAAAATATTATTTGATTTTATGAATTAATTAAAAATTAATCAAATATAAATAGAAAAAATATAATTAATAAATAAATTAAAAATTTATGTATATATATATATATATTAATATATTCACATTTATTCGTAAATTCATAATTTATTATAATCAAAATTTTCATCTTTTTTTAACCACAAGAATCATATTTTTCATACGTTTTTTAAAAATTAATTTAGTCTATAATTTTTTATATATTTTGTTGACTTAATAATCTTAATTAAATTAATATATTTACAGCTTTGACCAACCACACAACTGATATTTAACTCTCAAGCTTGTTGGCTTATGAATTTTTTCAGAAATTTTGTATTTTTCATATAAAATGCATATTAGATAGATCAAAATAATATATGAACAACAATAAGTATTGTGTGTTGTCTATTCCAAACTGTTCATACAAAATATTTATATAAACTCAAATCTAAACCAAATCAAACTAAACTAATCAAACTAAACTGAATACCAAATCAAATATTAAACCGATACTCTCAAATATTTATATATATATATATATATATATATATATATGATGAAATGTCGATGCCTCTCAATTCAATATGAAACTTTTGAAATGATACATAGAAATAAAATATTCTAAATCACCAAAGATAATATATAACTCGTATACACTAAGAAGTCAATAAAACATCACTATGCTTGTTGCTAACATGTTTGTCTTTGTTCCACATCATGTGTCCTCCAATTGAATCAAAATAAAAAATATAAAAACCAAAATTTTCATTAAGAAAATGAGTATTTTTGCCTATAAAAACTGAAACCAAATAAAATCGAGACAAACCGAATTAATTAAAAAAACCGGAACGATTCTGGTTTTCGTGTGTGATGATTTTTTATGTTTTTTACTTTCCATGATTTATACGAATCATGAAGTGTTTCTATTTCACAACTAAAAATGGTATTCCAACAAATTATTGGACTGTAGAGTTGTTTCATGTTCGTGTGTTCCAATGGGTGTTATATATATACAATAATACTATAAATCATGTTTCCTGGCAAAATAAAGATGAAATTCCAATTGTAAATGTGTGTGTATACATATATCTAGATATATCTGAGTATGATTGTTTTACCCGGAGTGAGCTCGTAGTAATTTTTCGGACCCTTCAATCGAAAATCCGTATGTTCGATGTATACCATTGTAAAAGAGATGAACAAACTTTTTAAAAGCAACAACAAAATAAACAATATCATTAAAAAGGGAGAAAACTGATGGAGAAAGATATACAAGTGGACATAATCAGGAGGATTCAAGTGAACATAAAAATGAATGATATCCAATGAATAATATCATTAAAAATGAACGATTCTTTTCCTTCGCTTTCAAAGCGACAAAGTAAACCATAGAATAAAATAAAACAAAGGAACGCAATTCAAATGAACATAATTAGGAGGGCAGAAAGGTATTTTTAGAGATGAATTCAAGTACCCTTTTGATCCATCTTCTCTGTTGGTTGATTTTCTAGATTATTCCGATGAATCTGGTGATATACATCAATATCCAGTGGTAGAGAAGAATTTTTCCGGTGAATTGGAAAAGGTATTTTTAGAGATGAAGATGGAAGCGGCAGAGCAGCTGGTACAACTGAGCGAGAAGTAGACGACGGTGAGCTATAACAGCAGCTGTAACGACGTTGGACATGGTGACAAGACAAGACATGGATAAATTTGGCGTTGGATAATTTTATATAGGAATACGACATGACGTTTGAGTTTGCCGTCTTTATTTACGTTATAAGTTGTAAGACACAATACATTGTTTTCGTATTCTAATTACTAACGATTAAATAGTTGTCACGTATCATAATCATATTTCTACCCAATCGTTCACTTGGACCACCGGTAAATCCTGACCGTGAATTCCAGATTACTGTGAAACAATCATGGCATCTCCAACCGTTATGTGGCGATTGATGACATCATCATCAGTGTGCTTGGTCATTATTATTTTTTATTTTTTATTTTTTACTTTTTAACTCCAATAATAATTATGATCATAAATAGATCACGTTTTTGTTTTTTTGGTTACATTAGTAATTATGGTCGTAAATGTGTAAATGAATATTCTACCGTTTTTGTTTTTGTTAGTGGAGTATTGATTATTTTTGGCAACATTTTTAATTGTAAGAATTTTTTTAAATATTTTTAATTATACATATAAAAATTATAAAAATGATGAGATAGAATATGACGTGGTTTATCAAAATAATGAATATATCAAATGACCAATAAGATTTAAAAAAATGGATGAGGTGGAGGATGAGGTGGCTTCACCATAATCCTTTAAACTCCTTTATTAATATATATAGATTTATTTAAACCCACGTTTTTTATTAATGAGAAAAGAAAGGGCAAAGTTTGTGTATTGTCAATATTTTAGACTTTTTACGGCGTATCATCTGTAAAAAAAAAATATTAACCAAAAAGAAGAATGTATGATGCGACACCAAAAGTCGGTCTTTGAAAAATTCCCCTATAGATACAGGCCCAGTAGCAGATTATTACGCACATGTTTCAATCGCCCTTTCTCATGTTTATAAAATGGGCCTCAAACTAATTCAGGCCCAATATCAGATTCCAGAATTCAAATGTGTATATACATATATATATATATATATATATATATATATATATATATGGCGTGGATGAGGATTCTGTGGTTGTCATTGAAAGTTGCAGTGCTCTTTCTCTCCCCCTCACTTGAAGCTTTTGAGACTTCGGCTCTCTTTTGCGTCGACCCGACTGGTAAGATTGTAAATTTAGGAAAGTATCTTCCATTTTCATCCTCTCTCAATTTCCATTCTGAGTTTTCTTCTAGAAATTATGTCTTCCGTTGTACAGTTTGCATGCATTTGCCTGTGATCTCTTTGTTCGTGCTAACAGATAGTGGAATAACTAGGGAGTGATGCAAATTTATGCTTCCGATTCTCTTTTTGTCAACTTTAGATTCCGTTTTAGCCTACTTGTGATTTTCTTTGTCAGGTGTTAGGGCTCTTAGTTCTTGCATTTTGTTTCTGCGTCTGCAATCGCTTCAGTTCTGCGTCCAGGTTCCACTTTTACGTCTTTGTTCCCTA